TTTTGAGGATCTCCATCCTTTTGTGGACTTTTTTCATTGTAGAGGCATATGTGTGTGTTTTCGTGGTCCCTTGTGCTACAAAAGGGACCAAGCATCGAATCCACGATATATCTGAGCAGCCCGATCTGGAGACGGTGGTACATGTATAATTATGTGTGTGTAGTTTTGGCAATTTGCGCAGTGTCGGGAAAAGCGCATTTGAAAGTTGAGTGAGCATGAATATTTCGGACTGAGGTGGCTGAGAAGGGGGCACTTCAGCTGTACATAGCAGTTGGATTGCCATGTAGTTCAAAACAAAAACAAAAAAACGTTCTTCATTGCAACTGTACCTTGACGACAGCAAAATAAGATCCGCTGGGAAGAATTGACCATTGGTCACCTTTACAACGTCCCCACATTGCACCTGACAAGCAAATAGACAAAGACACAAACAAGCAAGCAAGGGCATAACCAATATAACATTAGCACATGTACACGGATCAGACTACAATCACAGATGAACGCCGTACACACTCCGTGTGTGTGTGTGCGCGCGCGCGCGCGCGTGTGTGTGTGTGTGTGTGTGTGCGTGCGCGCGCGCATGTGTGTGTGTGTGTGTCGCGTTCCACATGGCGCTCGGCGTACTCAGCACCGGTAGATGTCCAGCATCGCCTCCCTCCCGTCACCTGCTACACCTGCGACCGACAGTTTGCACGCCCCAGTGATCGCGCACGCCACAAATGTAAGGTTGAGCGTGCGAAGCTGGTTGCAGAGCAGAAAGGTGCATGCCAGTGTGGAGAGTGTGGCCGTTGGCTGAAGTCCCGTGGAGGTCTGGCAAGGCACAAGTGTACTTACCCCCAGTCAGCAGTCGGTGCGCCCCTGCCTGCTTCTCCGCTGTGCTGCGTCGCTCACTGCCAGGCTTGTGACCGCTGCTTTGCGTCTACACGTGGCCACGCCCGTCATCGCTGCTCACGGACTTGTAGTCGTCCGACCGTTCAGGACCGTCAGGGTTTCACATGTGTTTGCGCCTGCTCCCGCCGATTTCGCTTACCGCATCACCTGGATCGTCACAGGGCTGTGTGCTCCTCTCTCTCAGCTGCCCCTCCGGGGGCCACGTAACCTTCATGGCAGTGGCTCAACAGGACAGGTGTGTGTGTGTGTGTGTGTGTGTGTGTGTGTGTGTGTGTGTGTGTGTGTGTGTGTGTGTGTGTGTGGTCGGATAGTTACGATGCCGACACTCTCCTCGTCGCCCCCACCTCGGAGTCCTTCGCGAGGCCTTGCAAGCCCGCAAGTGGAGCAAACTACCGCACGAAGACGACGACTTGGAACGACTCTGAGCATTGGCTCGTGGAATGTTCGCCCTGTTGTGGAGAGCGATGGATCAGTTCAAGCGGCAGCCGTGAGAGAAATCGTTTCCGATGATAAGCCAGATCCATAGCTGCCAGAGATGGCTCTCTCGAACATGGTCTCTGAGTCCCTGGCCTAGTACCTCTCTCTCAGCGCACTGCCGTCACTCGCCGTTCCATATTGTTGGCCCCGCAAGGGGACACGTGACCGTAATGGCAGTGTTTACCAGGACCAGGACCAGGACCAGGACCAGGTGTGTGTGTGTGTGTGTGTGTGTGTGTGCGTGCGTGCGTGTGTGCGTGCGTGTGTGTGTGTGTGTGTGTACGACACCATACTTCCACCAAGAACCCATAACCCCCATAGCGGCCGGCGCGAGTTCCCTCGGCAAAAAAAACTTGTTTTCTTCCCAAAAAACAGAACAGCGGGAGCTCTAGACTTACTTCTTCCCATGGCAGTGAGATGAACGTATCACGTAACACTGTGCACAAGAGAAAGCACACACACACACACACACACACACACACACACACACACACACACACACACACACACAGCACAGATAGCACACACAGCACACACACACACACACACACACACACACACAGCACAGATAGCACATACAGCACACACAGCACATACAGCACAGATAGCACACACAGCACATACAGCACATACAGCACATACAGCACATACACAGCACACACAGCACACACAGCACACACAGCACACACACAGCACATACACCATAGCCACCAAAGCATGCATGTTCACATACCGTGTTTCCCTGAATAGAAGTCCCACCTTTTTACACTATATTCAAGGGTAAAAAAAGGGGGTGCGACTTACAATCGAGCATGACTTACTACTGAAGTGAATATATCAAAATAGTATGGCTCAAACCTGAAATGGGGGTGCGACTTATAATTGAATGCGACATATAATCGGGAACAAGGAGGAACACAGAGGAACACAGAGACACACAGAGACACACAGAGGAACACGGAGAAACACAGAGAAACATGGGGGAGCACGGAAGAACAAAGAGGAACAAAGAGGAACAAGGAGGAACAAAGAGGAACAAAGAGGAACAAGGAGGAACAGAGAGAGAAAGATGAATCTTACCTTTCACTAAGCTATGGTTGACAAGATCATCAGCACGATGTCGCCTCTGTAAATAGAAATAGGAGTGCAGACAGACCAGCAAAGAAAAATACATGTAAATGCCGTTTTAACGTTAACCCTTTACCATCCGTGCGTACTTGAATCGATCTCTAGAGATCGATGGACATGCATACACTAAAAAATTCGTAACTCGATCGATTCTTGTCGGAATTTAAATAACTAAGTATCTAGGAAGAAGCCGAAGAGCTCAGCTTTCCATTGCATCATTCGGTAAAGAGCTGCGATGTCGCATTCCAAAGATATTGCGCTCGACATTTCAGCTACGGCAAAAGTCGAATTTCTTTCCGAGTGACCGACCTTGAGCGGGGATTTTCCCCTCTCCTGACATGCTGAGTCACTTTGGCATGCTTTGAGCGCGTGGGCAGCATGAAAAGAAACTCAAGCAAAAAATTTGGAACGGATACGATGAAGGAGCGAGAAATAGCTGGCGAGGAGAGAATTTCCTCGTATATCCAGCGATGGGGGTGTATTTGAAGCTCCCTGGCGCTGGATATGTGATCTCGGTAGTGTCCTGTTTGAGCTCAATGTACGCAGCTCGTGGAGAGCTTTCCAGAATGCCCAAGATTGTGAAAATTGGTTGATTAGAACCGAAGATATTCTCAGAATAAGGTGAGAATTATTGCATTTGGGACTGCTGGGGAAATTTGGTCGGATGGTAAAGGGTTAACTATTACATGTATACTCAACTCTGCACTTTGGGGACAATGATGGCTGGGTTGAGCAAAGAAAGTGCAAATCTTACAATGTGAAAACAAAGGAGGTTGCAGCAGGATCATCTGCAGCACACTTTCAAGATACTATGTATGATACAGCGTTTCGGAACTACTGTCCCCCTGCCCTGTCCCCTCATCCACATGTTCTGTGTGAGTTTTCCAGTCAGTGGGGAACTTTTGTGCAGGTCCTTGCATAGGGCACACGTGCCTTCAAGTCTCATGGGCAGGGCCATGTGCAGGTCCATGGGCAGGTCCATGGGCAGGTCCATGTGCAGATACATGGGCAGGTCCATGTGCAGATACATGGGCAGGTCCATGGGCAGATACATGGGCAGGTCCATGGGCAGATACATGGGCAGTACCATGTGCAGATACATGGGCAGGTCCATGTTTTGGTAAACAGTAGAGTGCAGGTTCCACCGAACTCTCGGCATACTCTGATGAGAACAATAGCGACAAACTGAAAGCATAGCTGTTATACTGACAAGTGACACCACACACACGCACGCACGCACACACAAGTACGAGTATGCCATGTACTCACATAGTCCTCAAAGAGTTCCTTGACGGCCGAGATACCAAGGATAACCGCTAGAGGTATGATGGTGGTGTATCGACCCGTTGGAGACACATCAGGAATTTGCTGTAGACAAGTAATGTAGGAGAAGAGAAGTGCAGACACACAGTTTAGCACTACTGTATCCATAATGAGAAGACCCCCCCCCCCCCCCCCACACACACACACAAAACACATGCACGCCCCCCCCCCCCCCCCCCCCCACACACACACACAAAACACATGCATGCCCCCCCCCCCACACACACACACAAAACACATGCACGCCCCCCCCCCCCCCCCCATCATAAATAATTTATGCACACATGAATGTATGTCTCCATCCCCCTCCCGCCAAATACTCGTACATGCACACATGCATTCCCCTCCCCCCTCCCCCTGTCATGCACACATGCACACACTAGTAGTACACTATAATACAAGCATGCATAGGTAATGATTCTACTAATGAACAACAGGTATACATGTACAATGATACATACCTGGATTACAGCAATTAGAAGAAAGAAGAGATTGCTATAGCGCTTGAACTGTTCAAAGAGGAACTTGGGGATGAAGGTGATGAAGTTGTACTTTCCAGTGCTGTAAGCAGACAATATACAAAGTTGTTGGAATACACATTGCCAACGCACCAGATTTGGTAATTGATCAGAAGACGATACCGTTACTGAATGAAGACTGCAAAAGACGTTTTCTTCTAATGTCTGCCTCCAGACCCCAGGGAGTAGTGGGGGAATACAATAGATGATATGCCAAATAACGTGCAACTAGACTTGACAGGGCATCGCACACAAGTTGCATACAAATGATACTACAATGTGTAAATGGAAGTCACTGAGCTCTGCAGGAATGCAAGCCAAAGGTAACCGTACAACTTTGAACTTTGTATGCAACTACTCTGCAATGCCCTCTCAAGTCTAGTTGCACGTTATTTGGCATATCATCTATTTACCACAAGCCCAAACTCGCAGCCATGTTGTCAAAAACAAGTAGAGTCAAACCTCGTTAGGACGAACTTCAAGAGACTGAACAAATTTGTTGTCTTATCCGGAATTCTCTATTATCCAGATCTGACAAAAACTTGATACCGGTATGACATATTGTATATCATACGGATTGTATTCATGTGAAGGTGCATGCTGTGGCACAGGTAAAGCGCTTATTCATAGCATAACCCAGCAACAGGTAAGTACAATGTGCAATGAATTCATGACAGCATGTCCTCCGCTTTGTAACATGCTGTCAATTCGTTTCGCCCGTACAAGACTATCGGGAAAAAACAGCCAGCGCACGCACGTGGACTGAAAGTTCGTACTACGCGCTGATTTTGTTCAAATAACGCCTGAAATTAGTTCCGTCTTAACGAAAGTTCGCCATACAGGAGTTCGTCATAAGCAAACAATTTTGACTAGATATGATGCCTGGCCAACCATACGATGGGCCCTAGTTCGTACTAATGTAAAGTTCGCCTTATAAGTGTTCGTCCTAACGAAGTTTGACTGTAGATGGCATGTACGGCTATGGTAATCCTCCATGCTGCTTGGCTGCATGCAGCTATCGAGATTTGGCATAAATCCCAGACTTGGCCGCCTCACAGGAATTTCACTGGGAGGTGACAGGAAAGACTTGCTCAAATCAGTGGTACCAAGAGTACATAACCCCCCCCCCCCCCCCCCCCCCCCCAGAGTGTGCAACGCCTGATCCAGCTCTGCATAGGGTCTTGGTCGAGCGGAATCGGATCTTTGCGTCATAATACCGTACACATCTGAGGGGAACCCGGGGAGTCGCGGGTACTCTTGGATCAAAAACAATGGTACCCTGCCTCGAGACCGGCCTTGCGCTGGTGTGGAGTGTACGCATGACATCAGAAGATCCGATTCCGCCCGACCAAGACCCTATGCAGAGCTGGATCGGCGTTGCACACTCTGGGGGGTTATGTACTCTTGGTGGTACCCAACCCAGAGTTTTACTGCAGACATCTTCATCAGAAACTGTACTGTGAAAACCAGGCTAATTGGCAGAGAGACAGGAAATTCTATCGTGGTTCTGAGCTCCACTTCCTCCATAATCATCAGGGAACTGATGGGGCTAACCAAGTTACCTAAGCATGATAGGAGAGTGAGGCTGCAACGGGGTGAAAGCTACAGCACACACTACACATGTACATCTATGACGCAATAAGGCTGTGACCTGGCAGCCACACAGTGGCAGGTCTCACACAAAACGGTGACAAAGGGCACTATACTAGTTACATGAAGAGTTCTAGCCTTTAGGAGCACACTGTAAGTCGCACACACCCTTCTTTACCCCTGAACTGGCTGAAGTTTAGAGCAAACAGGTATGACATTTATTCGGGGGGGGGGGGGGGGGACACAGAGTGTGGAAAGTGGAATGTGGAAGACACACGGAAAATGATACTAGTACACTTTCACCTTCCCACAATACTAGCAGCTGTCTTGCATACCACAGTAGTAACAGCTTTAAAACCAACCATCCATACACTCTACACTTGGATTGAGCTGCTTCAACTGGCCCTGACTGTATGCTTGGATGGTGTGTGTGTGTACGTGTGTACGTGTGTACATGTGTGTACGCCAGCTTGTGTGTGTATGTGTGTATGCATGTAAAACTGAACCAGCTTTGTTCTACTGGCAATAGTGACGTTCTGCTCTACGTTTTGGGAACGCGACGCAAAGAATCACGCGAACTCTCTTCGCGTTCCCGTGAAGTAAAGAAGTCATGTGGAATGTGTACTGGGAATTTCCCCTCCCATATTCGGCAGTTTTCTGCCTGCACTCGAACAATACCCAGCAGATTCGTACACATTTTCTTTGCGTGTGCCACAACGTAGAGAACCTCATCTACGCGTAGAAATCTGGACCCAAAACACGCGAAGCCGTCGACTCCAACTACGTGATTTCTCTACGTTTCAAGTATAGCAGAACCTCTCTACTGTGCTGTGTGATACAGTGAAATCCGCCACCACACCGTCAGTCACATTGTACTACTGACCGACTCACTCCGTGTGCACAGTACAACTATACTGACTGACTCACTCCGCGTGCACAGTACAACCTTACTGACAGACAGTTTCATTGAGTTGGCGTAGATAGGGCCAGATGCTCTAGACACCAGTCACACATCTACTTATCTTAGTCACATGCACACACGTTCACGCACGCGCGCACCCACACACATCCACACCCACGCGCACCCCCCCCCCCCCCCCCACACACACACACACGCCCCCCCCCCCCCCCCACACACACGTTCACATACACACACACACACCAGAGTTTACTTGTTATGCGTTGTTGTTGTTGTTGTTGTTGTTGTTGTCCCCCCCCCCCCCCCCCCCGTATATTGCCAAGATACTGTGGGGACTGTGTTGGCGGACAACAGCGCATAACAAATAAACGTTGGTCTTCAAGGACAACTGAAACATATAAACAATTTCTATTGATTGGTGTGAACAACAGGACAGTGTTTGCCTTTTCCAAGCATCAGTCATCACTTAGAAAACCGTGTCCACTGCGGCATGCACCATCCACTCATATCATACTAGCATTCTTGAGCTTGATGTGCGCGCTCAAGTGAAGATATGAAACAATAAAAAATGTTAAAACTTTCATGGAACTTTGCCCCATTTCCTCTTTTACCTGATTCGATTGGATGAGAAATGTTTGTTGGCTTCAGGGTCATTGAACGTAACTCGCCTGGCGTTAGACTGACTCAACTCCTGCAAGCTACGAACGGAGGCGGCATCATCTCCTCCAGAGTCAGGGCCTGCAAAAAGCTCTGCGGCCGAGGTCGAGGGTGGTGCATGGTGACTCATTGAAACAGCACTTTTGAAAACTTTCTATGAATTCGATGGGCGAAATGGGATAAACGCTAAAATTATTCAGCACAAGCTGTTTGCTCTGCTGCCATTTCTACACACGAAACACTGGACTTCACCTCGGCCTTCACCTTCAACTTCGCAGCCTGGAAATCCTTTCGACAGCTGATTTTGCAGAAGAAAGTCAGTTCAATCGTTTCCAAATCCAAAAACAAACATGTGGTGCTGCGAACGCACTCCTTGTCTAGCCACTTCCGCTAAAATGGCTAGGCTACAAAGGCTGTCTGTACGCTGCATGCACGCGCTGGTAGAGATCTACTCGTGCCCCGTCTACCACTGGTCTACACACTCACACTATACGAGCTGGATATGGAGTCGTAGCATGGCAGTGCAGCATGCAGTGGCATATTTTTCGGTGATAGCAGCTAACGACTAGTACTAGTACTAGTAGTAGTACTACGTCAGTTTTCAACAAAGATGATCATGATGTCAGTATATTGATGACTGTCAAGCGTCATGACTCATCACTGCCAGGGATCAGTCGGCTACATTGTAGTCAAATCAGGTACGACCCCCTGCGTCAAATACGTATTTGACGACTCCATTACCTCGACTGTCATCAAGACAAGACTCAAGAGTACATAACCCATCTTGCATGCATTGCTGTCATGATTATGTTGTTGTCGGTCGACGCGACGCCGAATTGCCACATAGGCACAAAAGGCACAAGTACCAGCCATGTACATAATATTATGTATAATATTATGTATATGTATGTAGTAATGCTCTTTAAAAAAAAGGCATGGCACTTGGCCGAGCTTGATCTCAGATAGCCTGCAGCTCAGTACTAGGTGTCCATGGCCACCTCCAGTTTAGACGGTGGCCGTGTGCGACCAACCCGGCCGCAGTGGCCTGACAGCGGCACACGATATGGCTCAGGCTAGTAGACTGATGTGCTGCTGACTGCTCCCAGTTTTACTGCTCTCTCTCTCTCTCTCCATGAAGTGAAGACCGTCGGCGGGGCGGCGGTGCAATGCCGAGTCCCTTCATCGGCCATTTGCTGACATCTCAGCTTACTGCCTCCTATGCAGAGAAGAAGAGAAGAAAACAGACAAGAAGCACACAAGCCGTTACACACAGAGATAGACGTACACATCTATGTACAGAGGCAGGCACCCACACACACACACACACACACACACACACACACACTCACACACACACACACACACACACACACACACACACACACACACACACACACACACACATACACACACACACACACACACCTTGACCTATGCAATGCCTCAAAGAGGCAAGGAGGACAGAGTTACTCAGTCTTGCATTTGTGTTGAGCCAGGTACTGCGGACGTGTGAACTTCCGAGAGCAGGTTGGGCACGGGATGGTGCGGTGCTCGGAGCCAGAGCTGCATGTTCTGTGGTTGCAGTTGTAACAGCCGTGCCCCGCTTTGCTCCGGAAACAACGGTCACAGGCGCGCGCACGCACACACACACACACACACACACACACACACACACACACACACACACCACCACCACCACCACCCAGAGGCGTGGGGAGGTATTCGACATCGGTGCGTCCGCATGCGTACTAGGAGGACCCCGAGAAAATTTTAGGGCCCTTGAAATTGGGCCCAAATAGCCCATATTTCATAGCTTCAAAAGTCACAAGATGAAATTATTGGTGCGGCCGCACCTGCCGCACCGGTTCCGACGCCCCAGCCGGCTAGGGCCACCTCCGCCGGCATCACCATGTGTGCCCGATGCAAGAGGAAATCATTGTCATACCGTTTTGGGGAAGGGTGCAGAGGTGAGCGAATCATTATCTGGGAAATACTTTGCAAATACTAGTAGGGCATGAGGCCACAGATGCCTGATAAAGAGGCCACCGATGACATAATATATCATGATTAGAGAGTGGTGGTTTTGGCATTCCCGCTTTTCCAGCCGGTTTTGGTGACTGAAAGGGCTTCCCCGGCAGTAGAATATTTTGCAACTGCTTCCTTCCCTATCGAGTAACTACACTGTACGTTGAGCATCTATCCGTTTTTGTTTCGCTCTGTAAAGAGCACTTAGGGTTCCCTGTAAAAGACGGCAACGTCTGTAGGGCCTTCCCTATCAAAATAATAAATTCTACTACTACTACTACTACTACTACTACTACTACTACTACTACTACTACTACTACTACTACTACTACTACTACTACTACTTACTACTACTGGTACACTGGGTGGTTGGGCTTTTTGCTCCTCCGTTATTCTCTAATTTTCTACTCCACTGTTCAATTCAATCGGTTTGAAGCCTTTTCAATTACTTTCTTTGTGACATGTGGAGTCGGCTCGAGTAGTTTGCTTCCTTCTGGCCTCGTCCGGCCCGCCAGTCCTTCATTCAGCTGGTTTCTTGCGCTGCGAATCGGCCATTATAGCCGTTGGTCCGTGCTGGGCGCGTTTGAGCGTGCGGGCCTTGGGCCCTGTTGAGCTGGCTTGCTGTGCCGTGCACACGTTGTGGTTTGGCCCTGTACTGCCTGCAGTGGCGCTCTGGATGCGTACTTGGTATGGGGCGAGTCGAGTTGACACTACTCATTGCATGTAGACGCACTGTTTACACCTGAGGCTAGGGCTAGGTCCTTGCATGCAGTGTGCCCGTGCTGTGTCTATGGGATGTCGCGGTCACGCGCTGTGAGCGGTCGACCATGCTGCGCTTGCAGCAGAGCGTCTGGGACTTGCAAGTCATGTTCGTGTGCGTCGGATGGACGCTGCTGCAGCAACTGTTACCCTGGCAGAGACAATAAATGTACGAATTTTGGCAACGTGAATCTGCAGACCGCAGTTGTTGGAATGGGTGTGGACGAATCGTTGTGTAGCGCTCCACCTTTTCGACCTCCTGGCTGGGTGCCCCATGGTTCCCGGGATGTGTTGGGCTCTGTTCCTCCGCCATCTGGCTCACACTCTCGCACAATAGCAACTCGGAGCTCTGCCTCGGCGGTGACGGCTGGGTCTGCGCCAAGTTCCGGACATCGGTCTTCCCGTGATGACGCATTAGGAGATCCTCAGGTGTCTGTTCCTGCCTCTGCATCTGCGCTGCCTCGCCGCGGCATGGTTGGGCATGTACCAAGTTCCGGGCCTCAGTCTTCCCGCGATCGAACAACAGGAGATACTCATGCGTCTGCTCCTGCGCCTGCGCCGGTGTCTTCGGAGTGTTTGCGTGTGGATCTGCCGCCCCCACGATGTTCGGGAGCGAGTCGCCCTGTGCAGTCTGGGGATGGTGGCGACCATGTCGTTGCTGGGGTTGCTCATGCTCCCCTAGTTGCTCCTCTATGGTCACGGCATGCGGAGTTGGCTATTTGGATGCGGACTGCATATGGACAGGTTGTGTGCTGGCAGCGGAACCTTTTTATGACCCCCTCGGGTTCCACTGGCAAGCGTTTCGTTAACATTATCGCGGACTTCATAAACACTTTTGCATCTGGTGGTCCAGCTGCCTGTGTCGCTTGGGAGTGTGTGGCGGTTGCTAGTCACCTCTTGCTGCAGCGACCTGAGCCGCACAGCAGAAGCAAGGAGAATACAGAGCATCTGCAGCGGCGCATGGACATGTGGGCTGCTGGTGACTTGCAGCCACTGTTGGAGGAGTCCCGTTGCGTCCAGGCTCACTTGCGTCCCCGCTCGGGGTCTGCTGGCGGTGGTGGAGACAGTGGGATGTCGGACACGGATTTTGCCAAGCTTGTGCACGGTGGTCGGCTGGGTCAAGCTCTGTCTGGTTTGTCAGAGGGGCGGTGTGGCAAACCTCTCCGGGCTGATGATATTGCGGTGCAATCCTCGGGTGAGACGGTCCGTGACGTGCTTCAGAAGAAGCACCCTGCTCCTGTGGATCCAGCCGAGGGAATATTGTTGGACTGTGAACCAGATCTGCCCAACCAGATTATGTTTGAAACGATTTCAGCAGAAAAAATCAAAAAGACAGCTGGCCGCATGAAGAGTTCTGGGTCGGGAGGTCCATCGGGACTGGACGTCGCTGCCTGGCAGAGAATGCTCACGGTGTTCAAGGGGGCATCGGCTAACCTTGCATCGGCGTTGGCTGCAGCAGCGAAGCGACTCTGCAGGGAGGTTGTCGATCCTCAGATTCTGTCAGCGTTCGTGGCAGCTCGCCTTGTTCCCTTGGAGAAGTCTGCTGGTGATGCTGCTGGCGCTACTTCCAGTATAGGTGTGAGACCGATAGCTGTTGGTGAAGTACACCGCCGTATTATCGCTAAAGCTATATTGGATTGCGTCTCCACTGATGTTGTTGCGGCTGTAGCCCCATTTCAGGTTTGTGTGGGCATGCCATCTGCGTGTGAGGCTGCGGTCCTTGCTGTGCAGAGCCAGTATTTGGATCCGGAAACAGAGGCTATTTTGTTCATAGATGCGTCTAATGCATTTAATGCTGTTAACAGACAGGCAGCGCTTCATAACGTTCCTCGAGTGTGTCCTGCCGTATCCACAATCTTCCAAAACACATATGGCGCTCCAATATCGTTGTTTCTGCCGGGTGGTGACAGGATCTTGTCTCGGGAGGGTACTTGCCAGGGCGATCCTTTGGCCATGGCACTGTTTGCGCTGGCTATTAGCCCTATGATCAGACGCCTGTCAAGTGACCACCCATCTATTGGCCAGTGCTGGTATGCGGATGACGGCGAGGCTGGTGGAAGGATGATGGACGTGCACAAGTTTTGGTTGGCTTTGTCTGACATTGGACCGGAGTATGGTTATTTCCCCAATGCCTCAAAGACGACACTCCTTGTCAAGCCGGATCTGGAGCGGGCGGCCGTTGACATGTTCGATGCCACCGGTATTGCAATACGAACTGGTGGAGCGAGGTACCTGGGAGGTGCTGTTGGCCAGTCGACGTTCATTGCCGATAATCTCGATAGCCACATTGCGAGTTGGGTGCGGGAGATGAGCCTCTTGGCTGACATCTCGCTTACACAGCCCCACGCCGCATATTCCGCATTTGTCCGTGGTATGAAGAGCAAGTGGAATTATCACATCCGAAGTCATCCAGGGTTGGCTTCTTCGTACAGACCACTGGATGATGTCATAAATAATAAATATATCCCTACGTTAACTGGCCGGACTGAGGTTTCTGATTCGGAGCGGAAGCTGCTGGCATTACCAGTGCGATATGGTGGCCTCGCTATTCCTGTGGTGTCGGAGGACGCAGAGGTGCAGCGCCGGATAAGTGAAGTTGTCACTGGGCCCGTCGTGCGAATGC